GAGGAGAATGTGGTGCCTTTCTATAACATCAAGAAATGGATAGACATTCTAGTCTTCTCGGATAAGGACGAATAAACCGTTGGTCCCGTCTCCTGTACCTATTAATTAGTTAATTTGGCTAGGCAGGGGACGTTAAAGAACCCACTTACGAGATTACTGTGATGTGGTCTGGCCTGTTTACTGGGAATTCGGGGGAGGGGACAATGTTAGATTTGCCTTTGATCCGATGTAAACTGCTTAGCAGTCTGGTAAAGACCCCTGCACAGTGTTGTAAAGCGCCATGAGCTCAGGATATGAGCGCTATATAAATAAAGGTTATTATTATTATTATTATTATTATTATTATTATTATTGTTAAGGCACGGAGTCAATCAGACAGTGCGCCTGTTGAAAGGAAAATATCCTCTATCTATTAAGCAAATGGTCACTGATTTCAAGAAAGCTTTCATTCAAGCCAAACAAACAACAGATGGGCCTGTTAGCGAAATTAGCTTCACAAAGCATGGGCGACTTGCATTACTGCCTAAAGACCTTATAAAAAGACCATGCAAACGATACAAGCCCTGGGACTAAAAGGTGCCCCGGTAACAGCTGCTGTGATAAATGTTTTTGCCAAAGGAATAGTTATGGCCAATGACAGTACCATATTGGTTGAGCACGGGGGCTACTTGAGTCTTAGTTATGACTGGGGTCGGAATGTCTTCTACCGCATGCAGAGAGAAGGCAAGAAGATGACAATGAGAATGGCTACCATCGAGAAGATACCCGTGGCACCAGGACTCTTGAAGGAAGCGAAACTGTCATCCCAGCGAAAGATCAAAACCCTACAAGCCATGTACAGTGTGCCAGAAGATCTGATTCTCAACTTCGATCAAACCCCATTGTCCTATGTCTGTTCCGCAAGTCACACCCTCCATAAGAAGGGGGAAAAGAGTGTGCCTCTTGTGGGAAAGGGGAAAAAGAAGCAGATTACTGGAACTTTCCCGGTAATGATGTCAGGTCTTTTTCTCCCGATGCATCTAGTTTACGAGGGTGAGAGCCCGCGACGCCTTCCACAAGGAATCACGTTCCCGGAGAACTTTAACTTAACTCTTACTCCAAACCATTGGAGCAATGAAGGCAAAGTGATCGAGCACTTGGAGGAGGTTGTTTTTCCGTTTCTCGTGGACAAACGCAAAGATCTTTCCCTTCCTGATGAGCCAAAGGCTATCCTAGTATTTGACGTGTTCAAAGGACAGAAGACGGAGTGCGTTCAAAACAACTGCGTTAGCGCTTTCGTTCCAGCCAATATGACCAACTATTACCAGCCGCTTGACTTGACAGTAAATGGTCCTGCCAAGCAGTTTCTGAAAGGAAAGTATCAGGAGTTGTATGCAACGGAAATCGCAAAGCAGGTCGTAAAAGTGTTCATGTACACTCCATTGATATAAGCAGTAAGTTACCTGTAATGAAGCCGATTCACGCCTGCTGGCTTGTTGGTTTGTACGACTACCTCCGAAACAAACCAGATGTGGTAAGGAAGGGTTTTGAGATGGCAGGAATAGTAGAGGCTGTCACTAAAGTACTGGAACCAGAAGATCCTTTTGAAGATCTTGTCTCAGATCATTAAGCCACATTAAGCTTCAGAGCCCTTAGTTCCCTTTCTGGACCGAACTCTATAGTTGAGACACTGCTTAAGGCATGTTATTGATTGAGTTTGTTATTGATTGAGTTTGTTATTGTTATTTTCTCTTTGGTGTATCCGGCTGTAAAACCTTGAAGGTACAGTAAAACTATCAATTTAACAGATTTTATTTCAGTTTAATTCATGTTTTTTAGTTGTAAATTTGCTTTAGGCATGTTTCAGCGCAGTGTCCGAATTTTTTGTCCGAAATGAGGGAAAAAGTGTCCAAAAATTAAACGTCCGAAATTAAAAACGTCCGAAATTTTTGGCAAGTAAAGAACTTTTCAACTTTTAGTGGATCATAGGAAGGTCAACGTTTACTGTCACATGACAGATAACCTTGAGGGCTGCGGGGGCGGTGGATGGACGATGGTGATGAAAATGGACGGCAACAAGGTATCTTGTCTGTCGTCACTATTACCCGTGAGTCAAATGTTCCGGTTACTTAAAAGAGAAAATTTGACATGTGATTTCTTATTGAAAGGAGATATCATCTTTATGTGCTACCTGTGGGGAAACTATAGTAGTATAGGGGGCCTGACTTGACAGAAAACACGTCAAACCGTTTTTTTGCAGAATAATAGAACTGGTCAAACTGGTTTTTGGCAGACTGGGATCCATGAAAAATCCAGGGGGTCTGTTTGGGACACGACTTAGGGGGTGGGTAGGGGGAAATTTTGTCACACCCGTGGAGGGGTAGGGTAAAAATAAATACATAAATCCCTTAGGTGAGTAGAGAGGTAACCGTAGGGCATGGGAGTGCTTGGATGACTATTATGTCTATTGTACTTCTCTGTTCTGCAAAAACCGCTTTGACGAGTTTTCTGTCAAGTCAGGCCCCCTATACTACTAACCATCTCTTAATGTAGTCATCATACTCACAAAGTTCATTATTCAAAATTTCCATAACTTTTACCCCCTCCATAACTGAACCTTCTACATTACGTCTCTCTAAAGGGATCATCAGCGTCAGACGAGAGATTAAAGAGGAGGAAGATGCTTGTAAAATCGTAAAAGAAACTCATTCGAGTTCTAAGTGGAAAGACATAGAAAACTATCGAAATATCTTTGAGATTATTTAAAAGACAATGTGATAAAAACTTGTTTAGCTACGGGTTGGTTCACAATATTCCCAGTATCCATTCCTTTAAAACTATTATGTCTATTGTACTTCTTCTCTCTTCTGTCCTTGGATAATAGTGGCAAGAATCCATTTCCGCTTTTTTTTAATGCATCGAGACTTTCTTTTATTTTACTTCTAATACCATCTTGGACGACAGCAAATTTATGGCTAAAACATTTACCCTGCAGAAGCAACTACTACATGGATGACACTGCTTTTTTAATCTTCCATGCAAAGGGTGCCGTGAACAAGGCGGATCCCCAAACATTGGCTGCGCGAACTAAGTGTGGACTTGCAAAGTAATAATCGATCTCAAACGATTTTTATTCCAACCCGGCTATATCTTTAACTTTTATATTTAACAACCTGAAAGAACGATCCAAAATAAGCAGCAGAAAAAAAGATCTAAGAGACTCAATGCCGAGAGCTTCAAATTCTCGTAAACTAAACAAATCCCGTTCTCCATTCTCACTGTAGAATATATTGAACCATTCTACTCGTTTTAGTTGTTATCTGCATATGAATCCAATTATCATTCAACTCATTTCAACTTTTCCATCCAAATAGTCAACCTTCCACTTTGATTCGCAACTCTGGAGTAACATGAGTGACTTTAATCCTCAAGGAGGGGAGACAGGGTTTGACTTTCAAGAGACCAAGCTGCCCACCTACTGGAACACATCCTTCTCCGAGATCTGTCTAGGGATGAAGATTGGTAATCTGTCCAAGTTCATTCTCGTCAAAAAGCAAGCCAGCTCTTTGTACTCACTGATCGCTGACGGACATTATCGTGACACGTCACTGGGTCCTAAAACGTGGAAGTTGCTGATTGGCTCCGAGGCATCCTTGCAATCAAATTGTAACAAGGAAGGGTTCAATCCCACTTCGAGGTGGGAAAAAAATGCCAAAGCTAGAATCGGTATCATTGCCAACGACGAGAAACATTGCAAATCATGTGATTCCAGAATTGGCTTCGGCACAGGTGGGCATGGAGACGACTCCAACACGTGTGGGAACGAAGCAAAGCACCATTCAGATAATGGAGACAAACACATCAAAGCCATGGGGTACATCTTGGTTCAATGACAAAGAAATCGATCTAAACCTCAAGAAATGAACATGAAGCCAGCCCTTAAGGACCTGCATATAAGTAGATGTAGCAAAAGAGGTCTGAAGAAGAAATTAGACACCGACTCAGAACTTATCTTGTTTCGTCTTGATAGGATTTCTACCCCCCTCCCCCCCCCAAAAAAGTGCAATTTGCGACAAATAAAAGCGCTTTATTGTTAGTCCTGCGAGGGGGGGGGGGTAGGAGGATAAGATTGGGGATGGGAGAAAAAAAGCCCTTGAGGTAATTGAATGGATAGTGGTTTATACCTACTGAAATCCACTAAGATATAACGGACCAATGGAATACGTGTAAGTGGTTGACAGTCTAGTATTTCATGTGAAAAGGGGAAAAACTAACAGAATGTCTAGCTACGTTTGGTCCTTCAAGAATCTTTTCTTTTATAATCTTTCCTTTCTTTAGAAACTTGTGAAAGTTGCTAGAAGAAGCTTCTCCTTCTTTGCCCGGTTTACTAATCACACATCCTTGTAAGATAATCTTTCTGAACGGCAATTAGTTCAAAATGAGTAAACGACTTCAACTTTTGTCTCCTCATTGTCTAGTACTTTATGTTTTTCCCTCTTTGATTCGTTTGTTCTGTTCTCTGTCCAATGAATATTTTAAACGATTCCTTTGACAGAGATCCATCTACCTCTCCTAAAGTGCGAGACTATTCTAATTTCTCACCTGAAAACTTCAATAATAAACTCTCTCAAATAAATTGGAATATCATCACTCTAGAAAATCGCCAAGACATCGATAAAATATTCTCAACGTTTTACAATAAATTTAACAGACTGGTCAATAAACATGCATCCTTGAAGATGCTTTCTCGGCGCCGGACAAAACAACTCTCTAAACCATGGATCACAAGAGGCATTAGATGATCAATAAAAATAAAAAATTAACTTTTTTTGTCAGGCGATACAGAGAAATATAAATTATTTAGAAATCATATCCTAACATTAACTCATCTAAGTAAAAAACTGTACTTTCACGAGTACTTTGAGACTAACTTATCGAGTATTAGCTATAGGAAGACTTGGGAAGGTATCAATAATCTGCTAAACAAAAGGAATCGTAAATCCATCAGCAAAATCAAAAAACCTGATAATAGTGGTTTCACACAAGACCAATCCCAGATCGCCGCTATTCTTAATGGTCATTTCGCCTCTGTTGGACATAAGTTAGCCTCCAAGTTGCCTCAATCACCACACCATTTAGGTGATTATTATCGCCAAACTAGTTTCCTTAATTCTTTCTTTTGTGCTCCTCTGACCCCCTTTGAAGTTCAACTCGAAATTCTGTCTATTTCGAACAACAAAGCACATGGACTGTACTCGTGTCCAACTCGTATTTTAAAACCCGCTAGTTATTCCTTCTTTTCTTTTATCAAATATATTTAATACTTCAATTGAGCTTGGGAGTTATCCTTCTAAACTAAAACATGCAAAGGTAATTCCAATATACAAAGATGGTGACGAGACAGACCCTAATAATTACCGGCCCATCTCACTTCTCTCAAACTTTAATAGAATCTTTGAAAGATTGATGTATGTACGTCTTAAATCTTACTTAATTAAGGCAGCTATTCTTGTTCCCTCTCATTATGGCTTTAGAGAGAAACACTCTACCCAGCATGCCATGCTAGATATTATCAACACCATTCAAAACAACATGGACAATAAGTTGTATACCTATGGCATCTTTATAGACTTAAAGTGCACCTGACCCCTAAGTTTTTTTCATTTTAAAAAATCTTCCTGCTTTGGTGAGTATTTCTTTGAAAAAATTGTTGGATTTGGTTAAATCCTCATTTTTTTATGCCCCGTTGAAGTCGAGATCCGAATGGACCACGACCGCGTAAATGGGGATCTGGGCAGAGTAGACTTGTGACATCACTTCGAGAAGACACAAGAAATTTTCGGCCAGTCGTCGACCTGCGAAAGCCTTTCTAGCACTAGATTCATTCTGCGGCATATTTGCAACCAATATCGATCTAACCTTCCAAACATAACCAGTAAACTGTGCAAAATGGCACGAAATACGGATTGTTGGGTTCTCGAAGTGACGTCATATTAGTCGCCAGACTCTTGATCCTTGAAACGCGGTCATGAGTCAAAATGGCGGTGATTTTAATGCGATTTTCGGTACTTCAACGGGGCACAAAAATTTAAGGATTTGACCGAATCCAAAATTTTTTTGGAAGAGTTACTCACCAAAGAATGAAGATTTTTTTAAACGAAAATTTTTAGGGGTCAGGTGCACTTTAAAGAGGCATTCGACACAGTAAATCATGAAATTCTTCTGCAGAAATTACATCATTATGAAATAAGAGGAATAGTCAACAACTGGATCTCTTCTTATTTTCAATTGCGTTCGCAGACAACTAACATTGGCCCCTATATTTCGGAAAAGGCTCCGATTGATTACGGCGTTCCCCGAGGCTCTGTTCTGGGGCTTTTACTGTTTTTGTTGTATATAAATGATATTAAAAATTGATCAGATAGTTTCAAGTTTTATTTATTTGCCGATGACACCAGTATCTTGTATGGTAGTACAAACCTTAAATCCCTAGAATTAGAAGTAAACGTTGAGCTAACCAAGCTTTGTGAATGGCTGACAGCAAACAAATTAACTCTAAATGCTAAGAAATCTAATTATGTTATATTTCGAAATTATAGAAAGCTATCTTTCCAACCGATGATAAATATCTTTGACATCGATAAAATGTCATATTCACAATTAGAATGCAAGGATTATGTTTAAATATCTTGGCATACTCATTGACAAGAATCTTCACTGGAAAACTGATATTGATCTCATTGCTCTAAAAATTAGCAAATCCATTGGTATGATAGCTAAACTGAGACACTTTGTACCCCTTTCTATCATTGTCAAGTTATATCAGTCTCTTATTCTCCCCTACCTTACTTATGGAATTAGCTCGTGGGGTCAAGCGTTACAGTCAACTTTGGATAAGCTTCTGCTCCTTCAGAAGCGGGTAATTCGTTTAATAACTTTTCTCCAAAGTGTGAACATGCTATTCCTTTTTTTTTTTATTAATCTTAATATCCTGCCTGTTCATTTTCTTTATGTCGAATCTGTTTCTTGTTTAATGTATGATATTCAGAATAAACTAGCTCCTCCCCGTTTTCAAAATCTATTTACCTATGTCTCAGATATACATTCCTACAACACCAGGGCTGGGTTGTTCAAAGATGGATTAAGATAACCCAGGGTTAGTGTGAAATTTGATTTTAGATCTGAAAGCTTCATAAGAAAATTCAGTGTAATTCCATTTGTCTAAAATTTGATGATCGATTGTTCTAAAAAGAATTGGGAAAATCATTCCAAAACTACTTTTGAACAGAGAAATATAGAAACCGGGATTGAAATTGAACCCTGGGTTAGCACTAATCTGCCTTTGAACAACTGGGCGTTGATCAGCAACTACCAACAAATTTTATGTCATGTCGTCTCATCTGGAACAACTTAAGAATTCTTTTTCCCACTTTGGCTTGCAGCTATGGAATGCCTTACCTGACAGTATTAAAAAATCTGCCTATAGAAATTTATTAAAAAAATAAATACATGAAATACTTATTAATATCTTCAAACAACAGAACTTGTATCTAACTGACACCATCGTCAATTCTTGAAATAATTAAAAATTTGAAAACCCCATCAATCCTCTTGCGACGACCAGTATAGCTAGGTCTCTTTCTATTTTCCTGTTATTATTATAACTAAATTAATTTACTATTTTAATTTTAATTTATTATTTACGGTAAATTTGAACTACTGTTTTCTTAGTGTAATCTGAACTGCTGCCAATTCGAAATCTTTGTAAGTACCAGTGATAAGCCTAACTTAATTATACCTACCCGCCTCGACTAGTTTTTAACTAACTGTGGGTAGGCATTTCTCAAATTGCAATTGTTGTAAATCAATAAGTTGTTGTTGTTGTTGTTGTTGTTGTTAGAACACAACAAAACTTTTGAGCAACACATAGTGAACAGCTTTTGTTCTCAGCAATACTTTAAACACAGTAATCCAGTTTCAGCTTGATCTCCTTTCCTATTTCACAATTTAACAATACTTAGTTACATTAACGTAAGCATTCTTAGATATAATTATTATACAATATTATTATACAAAAATTATTATACAAAATTATTATACCAAAAAGTTAGGATAATAGTTTGCCTAAATTCTTAGAAGCAGGAGACAATTTGCTTTCAGTCTCACAAGAGAGTAAATGCAAGATAAAGCCTACACACTGGATCACAAAATGACACAGCCTCTCAATGATCCATTTACACAAATACGTCTACTTAACGAACCGACCACATGAAAGCTGTGAATTAAAGTTGGCGTAAAATCAAATTGACTATGAGGGTATAAAACATGACTTTACTCGAGTGAACTTAAACTTTTGTCTTAAAAAAAAGACCTTTTGTAACTTGAAGTTCATGCACTACAACTTTGTGAGCACTTTAACTTTTGCCACAAGTGTTACTTTAACGCAATCGGCCGCATTTTAACAATTCCCTCACTCATCAATTAAATATTGTGTAGCGTTACATCTGAAATCTAGACGCTACTTTCAGTCAGTCTCAAATCTTTAGTTAAACAAAAGTTAGAAAGTAAATCAGTGCGTGAAAATAGCATTTGCCTCAGTCTTGCTGAGGCAAACTTCTCTTCACAACTTTTTCCAACTCCAGAAAACTGAAAGTAAATCGTAGGTTCGCTGATCATATTTTTTACCTTATTGCTGTCTTGAAAACACATGAATACAAAAGTCGAGATATCCTTTCGTCTCGATGAAACTCAGAAGCTTATTTTCTTGTGGAAGTCCCTTTCTTCAGGGATTCAACACCGTCAAAAACATCCTCTTGATTCATCCGCATCTGCCGCACTGTCACCGATCGCCATATTTAAGTGCAGAATTGAACTCTTTTTTTCAGAAAATATTATCCAAGTCCTCCTTGAGGTAAATCAGTTACCATAACTTATCCAGTGCTTCCCAACAAAGTTTATGGCTTATTCTTTCATTCTTGTAAGCTTTTTAATCTCTCTGTAATCAGTTGTAAGTTTTTTATGAAGGAAAACACAGCTTTAACCTCTAAATCCACACTTCGGGCGAAA